TCTCTGGGCAGCTCGACGTAGCCTTGCCCCTCTCCATGCCCAGGTTGAAGGCGTCTCCTTTGGAATGGGGTCCAAACCTTGGTATAGTATCTCCTTGGAGGTGAGTGGTGTCTCTTTGGACTGGAACACAAAGACAGAAGGGGAGAACCTTTTTTGGAGTCCAACCAGTTGAGCATCCCACTTGTTAATATCATGCTAGGTGAGTTTTTTAAACTTCAGTTTGAATTGGGGAAATTACAGAGGTTGTATTCAGCAGGTTTTGACCAGTTCTGGAGAACCGGTAGCAGAAATTTTGAGTAGTTTGGAGAACCGGTAAATATCACCTCTGACTGGCCCCGCCCCCATCTATTCTCTGCCTCCCGAGTCCCAGTTGATTGGGAAGAAATGGGGATTTTGCAGTATCCTTCCCCTGAAGTGGGGTGGGAATGGAGATTTTACAGTATCCTTCCCCTGCCATGCCCACCAAGCCACACCCACCAAGCCATGCCATGCCCACCAAGTCACACCCACAGAACTGATAGTAAAAAATTTTGAATCCCACCACTGGGGGATTACCTTGGTATTTCAATGGAAGTGGAAGAACATAGCACTATTTCTTAGGGAAAGGTCAAAAATTTTCCACTCCTTTTCAAAATCTGTAAAAAAAATCTCCTAGGATCCCATACATTTGTGGGTTTTGTGTCAGTCACTGGTAAGAGGTAGTGCAGATTTCTTCTTATTCTAGCACCAGACCTGGAAGATCTTAGAGACGAGGAGGAGGACATGGAGGAAGAGGGGAAGAGGACGAGAAGGTGGAGGAGGAAGAGGAGGAGGAGATGGGGAGTGGGGAGAAGTACATGGAGGAGGAGGGGGAGGAAGAGGAAGAGGGGAAAGAAGGAGGAGGAAAAAGAGGAGGAGGAGATGAAGGAGGAAGAGGGAAGGAAGCGTAGGAGGGGGAAGAAGAAGTAGGAAGAGGAGGAAGAATAGGAGGAGCAGGGGAGGATGGGACAAAGAGAAGGAGGAAATGGAGGAGGAGGAGATGGGGAGGAAGAGGACGAGGAGGAGGAAGAGGACAAGGAGGAGGAGAGGGGGAGTTGGCTATGGAGCGGGAGGAAGAGGGAGAGGAGGGAATGGAGAGGAGGGAATGGAGGAGAAGGAGGGGAAAAGGAGGAGGAGGAGATGAAGGAGATGGGGGAGCAGGACATGGAGGAGAAGGAAGAGGTGGGAGGAAGATGAGGAAGAGATGGAGGAGGAAGAGGAATGTGATGGTGACCTGGCCTTCCTTGAAGCTCTCATCTTACTTATCGAAGGAGAAGGAAGTAACCATAATATGATATCCTACTAGAAAAGAACACTTTGAGGAACATGCCACTAAGAACTTAATCTAAGAATTTTGTAAACACAGGCACAACAACAGGAAACATTTACATCCATTTACTTTAGTGCCCCTTAGTAATTATTTATTTGGACTGCCTCTATCCCAAAGGACGCTGGTTGGTGTACAATTGCAAAACGTGATAAGGACATTTCCCTACAATCGGGGTGGACTCTTTCTCGAAGGAGGTTTTTCGGAGGTGGGATGGCTGGTCAGGATTGGATTAGTGGATTCTTGAACTAAGCAAGAGGTTGGATCAGATGAGCTAGCAGATCCCATCCAACCTCCGGATTCTCTGATCCTAGTTAGAGGAGAGAAGGTTTGCATCCAGTTTTGGTCACCACACTATAAAAAAAGATGTTGAGACTCTAGAAAAAGTGCGGAGGAGAGCAACCGGGATGATTAGGGGACTGGAGGCTAAAACATACGATGAACGATTGCAGGAACTGGGTATGTCTAGTTTAATGAAAAGAAGGACTAGGAGAGACATGATAACAGTCTTCCAATATTTGAGGGGCTGCCACAGAGAGGAAGGGGTCAACCTATTTTCCAAAGCACCTGAAGGCCAGACAAGGAATAATGGATGGAAACTGACCAAGGAGAGATTCAACCTAGAAATGAGAAGGAACTTTCTGACAGTGAGAACAATCAACCAATGGAACAGAAGTTGCCTTCGGAAGTTGTGGGAGCTTCACCAGTTGAGACATTCAAGAAAAGATTGGACTGTCATTTGTCAGAAATGGTGTAGGGTCTCCTGCTTGAGCAGGGAGTTGGACTAGATGACCTTTAAGGTCCCTTCCAACTCTGTTAAACTGAATCTGAATAAGATTGGAGAAGGCATCTCCTGGCCAGCCTCATCTGAAGCCTAACTGGGCAGATGAATGAACAGGGGAAGTTTTTCAAGTTTTCTGTTTAAAGAGGTCCTACTACCTCTTCAAGATTGGTCTTTCTTCTCGCAAGATCCAGAAATGAATAAACTCCCCCCCCCCCCAAATTCTCAGCACTACCCTTTGATACTCACTGTCCTTTGGCTTCTCCGGAAGAACTTCAGTGGTCCTGGAACTTGAGGTCCCTTCGTCTGTTCTTCCGGTTTGAGTTCTTCATCCTCCATCGCCTCTGCCTTCGTTCCAGAGGTCCAGTTCCCCATTCCAGGGGGCTTATCGCCCCTTGACAAGAGATGCCCTTCTCCCCTCTTTTTCTCCCCTCTTTTAAGCCAGGTTGCTAGTCTCCACTGCAGCTGAGGAGGTGTGGTGGGATGATGGCATTGTGACCTCATGAAACTGGCCACCTGGGAGACCATGAGATCAGTAGCCTCCCCAGCTCAACCCATTCAGAAGTTCTTCGGCTGCATTGTAACGCTTCCTAGTTCACATCATTCTTGATGGACCAGAATCCGGATTTCGTACCTAGGAGTGTGGTAGCCAAGCCAGTGTGTTTACTGGGATAGGTCTGAAAAGTCAAAATGGTGACAATCACATCACAGATACCCTCTTGTCTTTCTTTCTTTCTTTCTTTCTTTCTTTCTTTCTTTCTTTCTTTCTTTCTTCCTTCTTTCTTTCTTTTTCTTTCTTCCTTCCTTCCTTCCTTCCTTTTTTTCTGTTTTCTTTTTCTTTCTTTCTTCTTTCTTTCTTCTTTCATTTCTCTCTTTTCCTTCCTTCCTTTTATCTTTCTTTTTCTTTTTTCTTTGTTTCCCTCTCTCCCCTCTTTCTTTCCTTCTCTTTTTCTTACTTTCTTACTTTCTTTCTTTCTCTCTTTCTCTTCTTCCTTCCTTCCTCCTTTTCTTTCTTTCTTTCTTTTTCTTTCTTTCTTTCCTTCCTTCCTCCTTTTCTTTCTTTCTTTTTCTTTCTCTTTTCCTTCCTTCCTTCCTCCTTTTCTTTCTCTTTCTCTTTCTTTCTTCTTTCTTTTTCTATCTTTTCCTTTCTTCCTTTTATCTTTCTTTTTCTTTTTTCTTTGTTTACCTTCCTCCCTTCTTTCCTTCCTCCCTTTTTCTTTCTTTTTTTCTTTCTTTCTCTCTCTTCCTTCAACTTTCTTTCTTTTTCTTTCCTTTTCTCTTTCTTCCTTCCTTCCTTCCTTCTTTCTCCTTTCTCTTTCCTTTTTTCTTTATTCTTCATTCCTTCAATCTTTCTTTCCCTCTCTCTCTTTCTTTTCCTCCCTTTCTTCCTCCCTTCTTTCCTTCCTCCCTTTTCTCTTTCTGTCCTTCTTTCTCTTCTTTCTTTCCTTCCTTCCTTCATTTCTTTCTTTCTTTTCCTCCTTCCTTTCCTTCCTTCCTTCCTTCCTTCCTTCCTTCCTTCCTTCCTTCCTTCCTTCCTTCCACACCGTTCTATGAAGTTAACCCTGCAGCCAAGGTGCAAACTCTGAAGGTGGCTATTTGAACTTCAAGGACCTTTACAGCTGACAACATGTCATTGTGCCTTTATGTATTCTAAAATTAATATTTTTGGGGAAAAACAGAAACCTTACTTACTTATCAGTGAAGCAGCAGGAACGAGTGAAAATGTTGTACATATTTAACACTTAGCTGAGGGGTTCCAATATGAACCCACAATCTGAGTTTCCTTATTTCACCACTAGATGGCAGCAAAGCCCTGGGATTTCTTTATAGAAGCAGTTATTGGAATTTCTGCCCTAAATCATTAGGATCATAAGCTGAGTCAGACCCAATTTTATGACCATTTTCATGACTGTTGTTAAACAAATCCATGGTCATTAGCAAACACCAAATTAAAAGTATGACTCCATTCTTCCAAAGGGCAGTTTTGCTGGAATTTGGGGGAGAAAGCCACAAATTAAAATCATATGACTGAAGGACATTGCAATTGGTCATGTTGGAAATAAAATCCAGTCTGGTTCCAAGCCTGGAGAAAAACACTGAAAATAAAATGGAGGCTGGCTACAAAGAAAGAAGGACTCTGTTTATTTGGATGCCAGAAACTTCAGTGAGAGCAGCATGTTTCTGGGGTGGCTGACAAAATGGCTGAGTGAGTGGATGGATTTTTATAGAGTTCTGGGGTTCGGTGATTGAGATGTTCCAGGGGGTTGTGCAATGTAGTGAGCCTTGTGACTTTTGCTATTCTAATCATGATGATCATCATTTAATGACCCCATAATCCCTTGCAGGGTGGAGTCTGGGCAACTAGATGGAGCTAGCAGAGTGTTTTAATGGCCGGATGCCCTTTCTGTCGCCAACGTGGAGTTTTGTTCAGCAGATATATTCTCAGTGTGCCCAGAAACATCTGCCTCTACCTAGGATCGAACTCACAGCCTCCTGATTGTGAGGCGATAACTCCACCTCTAGGTCACCGCACCACTCCATCTTTTGCTGTTCTAATGGTGGTGTGGGATATTCTTATGTCCTAAAGGTCCTGTCCTGTCCTTAGAAATTGGGTGGGAGAATGTAAATTCTTAATCACATCAGCTTCAGCCTTCTGTGGGAGCTGTTGCTGAAGGAATTCTGTTTATTAATAGATTGGCCCAGTCTTTCTAAATAGGTACAAAATATCCATCTCTAAAGACACAACTCAACAGCGACACAACTGAACTATATTCTACAAACTCTTGGGTTCTCCTGTGCCTAAAGACTTCACAACACATCTTCTTCTGCAAAGAAAAGGAGACCACTAGAATCAAACTCACCTGTTACCACACCTTAGCACTCAGTTCTTTATTGTCCAGCAAAAACGCACAATTTACCACATTACCCCAAATTAGACTTCCCATGCCCCAAGGACAATCAGAACACTGTCAGATTTTTCCATCGACGTTTGATATCTCGAGAGAATTGGTCCAGCCACCATTCTGCAAACATGACTTCCTGGAGCCAGAGTTGAAATTTCTCCCATTCGTAAGGGTTCTGGAAGTCTTGAGGGGTCAACTCTAAGAGGGCAGACTCCAACTTACGGAGCGTTGCTCCCGAAAGACGCAGATTCCGATAACGGAAATTCTCCTTCCAGCTTCTTACTTGCCCCTAGAATGCAATAGTGAGTGGGAGCCTTGATCAAAAAGATTCACAAGCCAGGGGGAAAAAATTGCACTGCCATGCCACCACGACTCCACCCGTTAAGCGAGATAAAGGAGATAAGGGAGGGCATAGCCCACAACTGCATAAAAGACTTAGAAAGAAACTCAGAATCAAGCTTTCCTAACTTCTCAGAGTGTAAAACAGACAGCGGGAGTTTTGTATGTTCATATGTGCAAGATTCTGTTAATGTAAGCCTTACAATAAAGTACAGCTAGCTCAGCTGGTCACGTTTTTCTGCCTGGTTTACCTTGGAAGACTGAACTTTCACACCTGAAAACTTTCACGTATAAATCTCCCACTGTCTCTTTTACTGCATGATGAGTTAGCAAGATTCTTTACTGAGTTTCTTTCTGTGCATGTTATTCAGCTGTGGAGTATGCCCTCTTTTATCTGATTGTGGCTAGCCTCTCCCCCATCCCATGTCTCCCCGCTGAACCTCCATTTTGGCCAGCAATATGCTGGACGAGGCCTATGCAGGCCCAAATGGAGCATCGGAGGGGCGGCCCCCCTCTGAACCTCCATTTTGCCCTGCAATGTGCCTGGCGAGACCTACACAGGCTAAATGGAGCAGTAGAGGTGTGGCCCCTCTGAACCTCCATTTTGCCCTGCAATGTGCCGGGTGAGGCCTCCGCAGGCCTAAACAGTGCATTAGAGGGGCGGCACCCTTCTGAACTGCCATTTTGGCCTGAAATGTGCCGGGTGAGGCCTACGCAGGCCTAAATGGACCATTGGAGGGTGGCCCCTCTGAACCTTCATTTTGCCCTGCAATGTGCCTGGCGAGACCTACGCAGGCCTAAACTTGAGTGTTAGAGGGGCGGCACCCTTCTGAACCTCCATTTTACCCTGCAATGTGCTGGGTGAGGCCTACACAGGCCTAAATGGAACATTGGAGGGGTGGCTCCCCTGCACCTCCATTTTGCCCTGCAATGTGCCTGGCGAGACCTACGCAGGCCTAAACTGAGCGTTAGAGGGGCGGCACCCTTCTGAACCTCCATTTTACCCTGCAATGTGCCTGGCGAGACCTACGCAGGCCTAAACTGAGCGTTAGAGGGGCGGCACCCTTCTGAACCTCCATTTTACCCTGCAATGTGCCTGGCGAGACCTACGCAGGCCTAAACTGAGCGTTAGAGGGGCGGCACCCTTCTGAACCTCCATTTTACCCTGCAATGTGCCTGGCGAGACCTACGCAGGCCTAAACTGAGCGTTAGAGGGGCGGCACCCTTCTGAACCTCCATTTTACCCTGCAATGTGCCTGGCGAGACCTATGCAGGCCTAAACTGAGCGTTAGAGGGGCGGCACCCTTCTGAACCTCCATTTTACCCTGCAATGTGCCTGGCGAGACCTACGCAGGCCTAAACTGAGCGTTAGAGGGGCGGCACCCTTCTGAACCTCCATTTTACCCTGCAATGTGCTGGGTGAGGCCTACACAGCCTAAATGGAACATTGGAGGGGTGGCTCCCCTGCACCTCCATTTTGACCTGCAATGTGCCGGGCGAGGCCTACGCAGGCTAAATGGAGCATTAGAGGTGTGGCCCCTCTGAACCTCCATTTTGCCCTGCAATGTGCCAGCGAGGCCTACGCAAGGCTAAATGGAGCATCTCCAAACCTCCATTTTGGCCATCAAAGTGCAGGACGAATGTTTTAGAGCCTCTGTGGTTGTTCATAAGGGAGAACAACTGCCGTGGTGTTGCAAGATTCGTAGTTTCGGGACTTGTTCATAAACACTAGGGGCCGCTGATCGTATAACTTCAAACGTTCTGTAACGGACCCCAGAGATTACGTGTCAGAAAAAAGAGAGGGTCAGACTATTTCCCAAAGCACCAGAAGGCAAGACAAGAAACAACGGATGGAAACTAATCAAGGACAGAAGCAACCTGGAATTAAGGAGAAACTTCCTAACAGTGAGGACAATTAACCAGTGGAACAGCTTGTATCCAGAAGTTGAGGGTACTTCATCACTGGAAGAAAAGACTGGACAGCCACTTGTCTGAAATGATATAAGGGTCTCCTGCTTGAGCCCTTAGAAATTTTAGAAGAAAGAATAGAATAGAATAGAATAGAATAGAATAGAATAGAATAGAATAGCAGAGTTGGAAGGGACCTTGGAGGTCTTCTAGTCCAACCCCCTGCTTAGCCAGGAAACCCTACACCACTTCAGACAAATGGCTAGTTAATCTCTTCTTAAAAACTTCCAGTGTTGCAGCATTTACAACTTCTAGAGGCAAGTTGTCCCACTGATTAATTGTTCTGTCAGGAATTTTCTCCTCAGTTCTAAGTTGCTTCTCTCCTTGATTAATTTCCACCCGTTGCTTCTTGTCCTGCCTTCAGGTGCTTTGGAGAATAGCTTGACTCCCTCTTCTTTGTGGCAGCCCCTGAGATATTGGAACACTGCTATCATGTCTCCCCTAGTCCTTCTTTTCATTAAACTAGCCATGCCCAGTTCCAGCAACCATTCATCGTGTTTTAGCCTCCAGTCCCCTAATCTTCTTTGTCGCTCTTCTCTGCACTCTTTCTAGAGTCTCAACATTTGTTTTACATCGTGGCGACCAAAACTGGACGCAGTATTCCAAGTGTGGCCTTACCAAGGCATTATAAAGTGGTATTAACACTTCACGTGATCTTGATTCTATCCCTCTGTTTATGCAGAGGATGACACAGGGAATATAGCTTGTTGAGGTTGAGCCATCAAAAGTGACTGAGAACTGGAGAGCCAGATTCAAGGGTTCACAGAATTAAAACAGAATCCTTAAGTGATTCTGTTTACTTAGTCCTCCAGTTCACACTCAGGATGTTTCTTAAGTGATAAACATCCTGAGTGTAAACTGGAAGACTAAGTAGGAGACTGAGTGTGAACTGGATGGAAACTAATCAAGGAGATGAGCAACTTAAAACTAAGGAGAGATGTCCTATCAGTGAGAACAATTATTAATTAATTAATTAATTAATTAATTTATTTTTTAAACTTTTATACCGCCCCCTCTCCCGAAGGACTCGGGGCGGTGAACAGCCAAAATTAAAAACACACAATATAAATATTAAAATACATTAAAACAAAATTAAATTTATCTTTGGCTTCCCCAATTTAAAACCCCTTACCCATAAAATTCCCCAATTAAAAGATTTTTAACCCAGTCCGGCTTGCTGAAATAAAAAAGTCTTCAGGGCCCAGCGGAAGGTCCGGACGTCCGGGATCAGTCGTATCCCTGGGGGTAGCTCATTCCAGAGAGCGGGTGCCCCCACAGAGAAGGCTCTTCCCCGGGGGGTCGCCAGCCGACATTGCCTGACAGATGGCACCCTGAGGAGACCCTCTCTGTGGGAGCGTGTTGGCCGGTGGGAGGTTATCGGAGGCAGAAGGTGGTCTCGTAAATAACTGGGCCCTAAGCCATGGAGCGCTTTGAAGATGAGAACCAATACCTTGAATGTGGAATGACTTGTCTTCAGAGGTTGTGGGTTTTTAAGAAGATGTTGGACAACCATTTGTCTGAAATGATATAGGGTTTTCCAGGGGTGAAATGCTCCCGGTTCGGACCAGATCGCCCGATCCGATAGCAATGGAGTCGGGTGGTTCGGAGAACTGGTAGCAAAAATCCCTGCCCCCCTCCCCCCCCATTGCCCAGCTAAGCCGCGCAATCATCAGAGGCTTTTTTTATTATTATTTTTAAAAGCATTTTTTTCTTCGGCTGAAGAGGTTATAGAAAAAATGTTTTTAAAAGGAAAAAAAGCTTCTGCCGATCAGGCAAGTCAGCTGTGATCGTCAGAGGCTTTAAAAAAAAAAAAGCTTCTGCCGAATCAGGCAAGTCAGCTGTGATCGTCAGAGGCTTTAAAAGCATTTTTTACAACTTCTTCGCCGAAAGTAAAAAAACCCCCTTTTTTTTAAAAGTAAAAAAAACCCCACCTCTGCTGATCGCGCAGCTCAGCTGGGCATGGGGGGGGGCAGGGATATTTGCTACCAGTTCTCCGAACCACCTACCGCCATCACTATCGGATCGGGCGATCTGGTCCGAACCGGGAGCATTTCACTCCTGCACCTCACAGGGTTGTTGTTGTGGTGGAGGAAACAGGAGGAAGAATGTGCGTTGGCTGTGGTCGCCGCCTTGAGTTAATTGTAAAAATAAATAATAAAGAAATACAAAAAAATAAGTAAAGTATCAGAATTCACAAAGATAAAAGGGACCTGTAACTCATCTCTCCCCCTAATCTTGGGGCAGTGAGTTCCGCAGATCAACCTCTTCTGAAAAAAAACCCAATTTCTCCTAGAATTGGAAGACTGGTCTTGTTCACCTTCCCCACCACTTACAACACAACAGATCCTTGGCCAACAGCAATCCAACACTTCGGGATGTTTCTCTTGCCTTCTGGGGGCGCAGGAGGCAGCCTGGCTAAGCCCCACTTGGGAAGGAACACTCCCCATCAGCCCCTAGGGCCGCCTGGGCCAAGGATGCTGGGCTTTTCCTGGAGTAATAGGTGAAACCTTAGCTGGTCCTGCCTTTGAGATGGCCTTCAACCCCCCTCAGTCTGACCTCATAATGAAAAAAAAAAAGGGAAATAAGATGAAGGGGAAACCCATCTTCCCTCCCTTGCTAATGTCTTCATTTGCCGGGACACCCCCTCCCCTTCTCCCCTAACACGGAGTGGGGTGGGGGTGGGGAAAAGTCAAGCTACAAACTAGATTTCGTGTCATTCGAATTTCATTGTGCCTCACAATGAAGCACATTCAGTGACATCACATGAATCTGGGGGCTCTGGATCCTTTCAACTTCTAACTAACATCCCACAAATTGCGGTTTAGGGATGTGGTGTGCGAAAAGAGCACCTCAGCAATACATTGTGGAAGTTGTGGGGAGATGGAGCATCAGGCGGCCTCAGCAGTCTACCTCAAAAGTTTGTAACCTTTGGTAAATGTAAAGGTTCCCCTTGCGCATATGTGCTAGTCGTTCCCGACTCGAGGGGGCGGTGCTCATCTCTGTTTCTAAGCCAAAGAGCCAGCGCTGTCCGAAGACGTCTCCGTGGTCATGTGGCCGGCATGACTAAACGCCGAAGGCGCACGGAACGCTGTTACCTTCCCACCAAAGATGGTCCCTATTTTTCTACTTGCATTGTTTACGTGCTTTCGAACTGCTAGGTTGGCAGAAGCTGGGACAAGTAACGGGAGCTCACCCCATTACGCGGCACTAGGGATTCGAACTGCTGAACTGCCGACCTTTCGATCGACAAGCTCAGCATCTTAGCCACTGAGCAACCATGTCCCCTTTAATCTTTGGTATACAATAGTAGATCCCAGCAATTGTTTGGTTGAAGAGCTTGGGTCTCCTCATGAAAGAAAGACGAAAAAAACATCCTTTTCCCCATAAAAGACATTTAACTGTTTGAAGATATAGGTCTATTATATTTATTATTTACTGTCAATGTTTCCCCACCTTGGTAAATTCTAGAGGTGTCTGGACTTCAGCTCCCAGAGTTCCCCAGACCGCACAGTCATTGCTGAGAATGCTGGGAATTGAAGTCTACTCAGGTTGCTCAAGAGGGGATGAGCTGATTTAAAAATGTAGTTATTTATTATGTGTTTCAATTAGATCAGCGGTCACCAACTGGTGGTCTGTGGACCACCGGTGGTCCGCGAGAAAATTTTGGTGGTCCGCAGAAAAATTATTTGCATTTTTTACATTGCACTAAATCAAGGGTCCTCAAACTACGGCCCTTGGGCCAGATATGTGCAACGATTGTTTGTGTTGCTGCAGAGAGTCTCCCCCTTCGGGGTCTTTTTGAGCAGGTCGGAGGGGGGCAGAAATTCTGACTTGGGGTCTGCTTCAGCTTCCTGGTGTGGGGCTTTGGCCGAAGGCTGGGGGGAAGCACCGCCGGTGGTGAAGAACCGGAGGGCCTTGTTCCAGTGGGATTGCATCATGGCCTGGAACTGGCTTACCATCTCAGCCCGCTGAGCCTCCAGGCACCAGTATGTCGCCTTGCACTCCTGCAGGTCTTCGCTTGTAAAGCCTATGCTCATAGTCCTCAGTGAGGTGCTTCTGCTGAGCCTCCTTCTCGGTCAGATCTAATTTGAACTGAGTCAGCTGTTTTGCCAGCTGAGTCAGCTGTTTCTCGTGGTGGCTGCTTACCTCCAACTACTGCTTTCTGTTGGGGACCTAAACAGCCCGGGTGGGAAGGCGAGGAGTGGCTGGGAGGGGAGGGGCAAGTAGAGGCTGGCGAGACACCCCTTGATGTGAGTGACATTGAGTTGGCCACACCCACCCAGTCACATGACCACTTAGCCACACCCACCCAGCCGGCCATTACGCAGATCATATTAGTGGTCCGCGAGATTTAAAATTATGAATTTAATGGTCCCTGAGGTCCGAAAGGTTGGGGACCCCTGAATTAGATGACTTCCATGGGATGTAAACCACAAGTTGAAACTTACTCATTCAGGTAATACTTAGGCCTAACCCTTCCCAGAAAAAAAAAAGTTTTCTAAACTAAGCAAATGTTCATTAATATTAATATTAAATATCTTTTTATTATTATTATTAAAAAAAATTAAAGAGCCAGTTTGGTCTAGTGATTAACACACCGGGATGAAACCAGGAGACTGGGAGTTCTAGTTTCACTTTAGGGTTAGGAAAGCTGGCTAGGTGACTTTGGGTCAATCACCAGGCGATCACGAGTTCTAATCCCACCTTAAGTATGAGAGCCGACTGGGTGACTTTGGATCAATCACCAGGAGATGGTGAGTTCTAGTCCCTCCTTAAGTATGAAAGCCGACCGGGTGACTTTGGATCAATCACCAGGAGACAGTGAGTTCTAATCCTTCCTTAACCATGAAAGCCAGCTGGTGATTGAGGACCAGTTACTCTCTCTAACACAACCCACTTCACAGTGTTGTTGTTGTGGGGAAAATAGGAGTGTTGTGACTCCAGCTCCTGAACTTGTCCTCACGGAGGAAGATGACTCTGAAAGTGATGGGGAGGAACTGACAAGGCCTCCCTCTCCAGGACCCTCCTTTCTGGCAACGCCTCAGGTTCCAGCTGAAGGCCAGGAGGAAAGCATGTTGGGGCACCCACTAATAGGGAGTGATGAAGATCAATCTTGGATTGATCCCAGGCAGTGTCGGAAGGAGAGGCGTGCACAGCAAAGGAAGAGGTGGGGAAGGGCCAGAGATTGCTGAGTCACTGAGCCATGCCCCACAGGGTGGGGTTGCTCTGCAGGCTCTGTGACGGACAAAAACTGCATATCGTGAGCTTCGGATGGGATATTTTTCGGAATTAAGGCTTGGACTTTGTGAACGACTTCTGACTACTCTTTGAACTCTTGGTTGCCCCAGCAACGGACTACAGATACTCTGACTCCTGTTTCTAGAGGTGATAAGAAACTTGGCAGGCATTCGGAAAGTAGCTGCCAGAATTTGCATCTGCCAAAGGGATTCAGGTCGGCTTGTAGAAATAAATTACTGTAGACGTCTTTTGCTCGTGTGTCTGCCTATGTGAGGTGGGGGGACAGAACAAGGAGGAAGGACGGACTATTAGGCATCTTGCCACTTTATAAAAATAAAATGCCCATTTTTCATGCAAGCAGCTAGTCCTCACTACTCTTCATACTGCAGCATAAACCTTTCATTTCCCTGAGTAGCCTATTGAGATTATCTATTGCTGTCCCAGCTACTAAATTGAGATTAATAAATCTTAACCCTGGGAGGCCATTTGCAGCTTCGGGGTGTCATGAAACCACAGCCAATATCGCTTTCATTTAATTCATATTTCATTCTTTTCATGTTTTAAACATTTTATTAGATTATAGAATAAAATGCAATACTAGTCGTATTTTATAGCTGGGTGGTGTACCTTGTGAAGCCAGGAGTGGGCTACAAAAATTTTAGCAAGTTCTCTGCCCTGTTGCTGGGTGGGCGTGGCTATGGTGAGCATGGCCTAGTTGGCTTCCTGAACCACAGTGGGGGTGGGGGACGTTTTTGCCCTCCCCAGGCTCCGGAGGCTTTCCTTGAGCTTCCGGGAGGGCGAAAACAGCCTCCTCAGGCTCCGGAGGCCCTCTGAAGGCCGGAAAGAAGCCTGTAGGCCTGTAGGAAACTTCAGGTAGGCCTGTTTTTCACCCTCCCTGAGCCTCCGTGCACGCCCTGCACTTACCTGCATCCAAAATGGGCTGTGTGGGGACTCCTGGGAGGGGCTGGACAGGGCCAGCCAGGAGTGGGATCTTAGCTAGAGGTTCTCTTGAACCCCTGAGAACCCCCAGCAGCCCACCCCTGTGTGAACTAAGCCATTGTGTTCATCCTCAACATTTTCCCTTGATGTCCCATATTCCGTGAAGTTTGTTAACCCAGATTTCAACTCCTGAACTCGAATCAACTCCTGAATTGAATTGATAATGAAAACAGGGACCCTGGAATTTTGAATTTGCCCACTACCCCCACCACCCATGCCCCATTTTGGGTCTAGTAGGCTTCCCTGAAGCCTCCTGGGAGCGAAAACGGGCAATGGGGGGTGCCCCGCACGCACCCCATTTTGGGCCTAGGATGCCTCCCTGCACTTACCTGGGAACCAAACTGGGGTGCGTGGAAAGGGGAGGGGCAGTAAGGGGCAGGGCCAGCCAGCAATTTATCTATCGGTTCACCTGAACCAGCCTGAACCGGCTGAATCCCACCACTGAGCCACACTGTTGTGGCCCACCAGACTCGGACAATGAGGAGTTTGGGGAAGAACTTGGGCCAGTTCTGGAGACTGAGGAGGAAAAGGGAGTGTTTCGGTTGTCACAGACAACCGTTTGCATTTCTGGAACATTAGCTCCAGCGGTGGTATTCAGCCGGTTCGGACGAATCAGTAGCTCCGACAAACAATTGTTCCCGCCCAGTGGTGGGATTCAAATAATTTAACAACCGGTTCTCTGCCCTAACGATTTCTTCCAACAACCAGTTCACCAAACTGTTCAGAAAGTTAACAACCAGTTCTCCCGAAGTGGTGCGAACTGGCTGAATCCCACCACTGGTCCCGCCCCCTGCTGCCACTCGATCCTGTCCTTTATTTCCTGCTTTGTAGCTCATCTCAATCGCGTGGCACAGCTGATTCCCCCCTGCACTGTTCTACGTACCATTGCTGACTTGGAAGGTAAACAGCTGAGCTTCTAAATGCTCAATTTTCAGTGCTGCGCGCGAGCACCTTAGGTGCACAGGCACGCATAAAGTGCGCATGCACGCGCAAAGCACACAATCACCGAACTAGTTGTTAAACCAGCAGCATCCCACCACTGGTTTGCTCCTTGTGTGTTTTGTGCGACAAAGACTGCCTTGCCAGAACTGAGATTTGTCTATTTCTCTGTTTGAACTGACTTAATTTGCAGCCTCCCGGCTGGGAGCCCAAACCTTGCATTTATCATAACAAGCTGATAAGGACTATTGTTTCAGTTAACTCCTTGCAGGACTGTTGCTTGGAGTTTCTGTTGGTGAATGCAGTAAATTCCCAGTGTGTAAGTAAAGAGGAGTTTTTCTTTGCAGGGAGTCTGTTTCTCAGCCGTTTTAATTTTTATTCCAGCTTTTTACCAAAAGTTCAAGACGGTATACCTAGCGTTCCTTCCTCATTTTGCTCCACAACAACTCTGTGAGGTAGGCAGGACGAAGAATGCTTGGGCTGAAATCATCTCCTGAGCTTCGGAAGCTGAGGGGAAATTTT